CTCACCCCCCCATCTTCTCTGTTGTCTCTTCCTCCTTGTGGCACTCTCGTCTTGGTCATCCGTCTTCTGAAGTTGTCTCTAAATTATCTTTAGGCTCTTTATCTAATTTAAGTAAGGTGTTTTGTAAGCTGTGTGCACTTTCCAAGTCACACAAACTACCTTTCAATTCTAATAATAGAAAACTAGATTTTAATCCTTAAATAAGATGAAGTTTAGAAAAATGTCTTATACAAGATTAAAATTTGATTTTAGTCCCTAAACTCTATTTAATACCAGCATATTAAATGGCTCTCTTTTTTATTTATAATTTTATGGTGTTCATAAATTAAATTTTATGAAAATATTATAAATTTTAATTTTCATTATGGTAAGTATCTTATATAACAAAATATTTCCGTAAAGATTTTTCGGTACACATGTTTTTGCATATTTTCTTATGTGCCACTAATTCATTACAATATATTTGGGTACGAACATTTTGGTACACTAGGTTAGTATAATATGTTTAGGTACGGACATTTCGGTACACTATTTTATTATAATATATTTAGGTAATGACATTTCGGTATACTAGTTTAGTATCATATATTTAGGTACGAAATTTTTCGGTACACTTATATTTTTGCATATTTTCTTATGTGCTACTAATTCACTACAATGTATTTAGATACAGACATTTTGGTACACTAATTTAGCCAAGTATATTATGATACGGACGTTTAGGTACACTAATTAGAGGAAGTAAAATAAATATAATGAATAAAAATGTGTACAACAATAAATAATTTTAATTTTAATGTAATGACATTAAATAAGATATCTATTAAATATTAAAACAAAAATATAATATAAATTTGAATTAAGTACTCATTAGAGAACTAAAATCAATATCCAATCTAACACTAGGCTTTTATTAAATTTTAATCTTCTCCAAGGATTAAAGTTCAAAAATCCCTTCTAATAAAGTAATTGCTCCATTTCTATTTTATTTAATTTGTTCGGATGTCTTCTACTTCGTCTCTGACACACCCCGACCGAGATCAGGGCGTGCTGGCCGTCACACGGAGGTGACGTAACCATGTGCACGTGCGGAAGCTAATAAAATAGTAATATAAAAAGTACGAATAATTAAAAACTAGCATACATAGTACTAAAAACAGGTGCTAGCGTGAGTGAGCCACAAGTTCAGAGCAAGTCTACAGCAGTCCAAAAGAAAAATGCGACAACAGTACACCCGGAGGTGACCCTACGCTGGTGAGTGTTTGTCAGAAATGCTGGGAAAGCCCTCTGGGAAACCACCGAACCTGCTAAGCAACTAGAACCTGGAGGGGCGCAAAACAAAAGCGTGAGTGGGCAAAAACAAAGCTCTTTGAAAACCATTTAGTAAAATACATTCTAACCCCTCGCCGTAAAACCTGTATACTTCCCAGAAAATAAACATATATACGTAAGTATAGATATGCCAATCATGCTCAAGATTATGCCATGTCGAAACCTCATAATGAAATGCAAGTGCTCAGGTGTAAATCAAATCAATAACATCTAATCTGGCAGCCGGAGTCACCTAACGTGACCTGTACGGCTGCATATAGAGCTCAAATCTCAAACTCAATAACTGAACCTGCCCACGAGTCGGAACCACCTAAAGTGGTCTGTACGACAGGCCTGGGTGTAACATATATATACGCTCTAGTGCTACGATCACGTGAAGGCTGTGCGAATAATCGCGAGTCACCTACGAGTCAGAACCACCTAAAGTGGTCTGTACGACAGGACTGTGCACCTAACTTGGATCCAAGCTGAGCGTGTGGTGCGGGAGGTGAACATCACGTGAACGACTGTGCCCTACTCTGGGCGGGAGCACTTACACCGGGGGTGCAGGTTATGAGCTCTCTAAACATCTCAAACTACCACTGAATGTAAACATGAATAATACCTACCTGGCACTTACCTGTGCGTCCACAAATCTCTTCATACCGATGGTGGTATGAAATACATCAATCACTCATTTAAAACCTTTTGTCATGAAACTGGTCTTGTTCATCGTGTCTCATGTCGTCACATGCCGGAATAAAATGGTCTCGCTGAATGCAAACATCGTCGTAGATCCATTGTCAATCGTCTCCTCCTAAGCACTGCTCATGCCCCGCCTTCCCTTTAGGTCGAAGCCGCTCTCACCGCCGCCTTCATAATTAACCTTCTTCCGTCGTAGGTTCTTGGTTGGTCTAGTACTTATTTTCATCTTTTTGGTCGTCACCCCTTCGTACATTTGGCTGTGCGTGTTACCAGCACACCTAGAGGCTTATACTATTAACAAACTGGAACCCCGTTCTAAAGAAAGTGTTTATGTAAGTTACAGCTTGCAATTTAAAGGCTACAGGTTCCTCGATCCGGAGACTAATCGGGTTTGTCTCTCTCGTCAAGGTGTCTTTGACGAGAGTACTTTTCCCTCTGCTCGTGCTGCTGCCCGTACGTCCTCGATCACGGACATGTCTGTTCCTCTTCTCATTGAGCCTGCCGCAGCCTCTGTCTCACCGTAGCGGCCCGCTGCACATGGTCCAGTCCAGCACCACACAGCCCATGTTCTAGCAGCTGTTCCCTTGGCCCAGTGCATGTTTCTCACCACCCCTCACCTGGCCCGGTACAACCAGATTTGACCATCTTCTATACTCTAGTTCTTAGTAGCGTTTCATCTTTTGAATACTGTGATAGCCCCATAGTCTTTTGCAGGCAGTATTACATCCTGAGCAGGACCGAAGTCTCACTGTACGTGAATCTGCAAGATTGCTAGGCTTTCTTGATTGTTATAGGTTCTGTGGGACAGTTAAAGAGAGGTATTTCAAATCTTCTCATGAATGTGACTTTAAATAGTTAATTCCTTTTGCAAATTTGTTCAATAAAAGTTTTATGAGTCGTGTTTGGTTTATTGATCCATATTAAAGAAGGAAAACACTTGGCTCCTCCCACCCTCCAACCCCTATAACGAACCATTTCTCATTCCAAACGATCACAGTTTGACAGAGCTGCATAAACTTTTCATTTTGTATTTACTAATTCTCAACTTGTAACTGTTTCATTACCTTCATTCAGCGAACATTCACTTGACATGTGGCTCGTGTATTTTTTAATCCGAAAGGCGTGAATAATGTGGAACAATGAAATGAAGGCCTCCTTTTGTGTGAGAGGAGTTACTGTATTTTCTCCATTTGTAATGTGCAGTTTTAAGGTCGTTGTATACAGAAATTGCTTCCATTAAGCTCATGGCCTCATGCCAGATGTTACATCTTCCAATTAATCAAACTTTTGACAAGTAAAAAAGGAGTCCAAGCCCCAAGTTAGATGGGCAACAAGCCCAGTTAGGAATGTATGGGTTTGTTTGGTCACGTAATTGGATTAAAATTGATCCTATTAAATTAAAGATACGTTAAAGAGAGAAAATATAAAATTATGATCATCTTAAGGATAGAGGATGGATTATTTATAAAGACAACTTAGTCATTCTAATCCTCCTAAAAATGACAGGATTATAGGCATAATTTCCTTCGTAGCTAATTCTTTTTTAGTCCCCTTCAAATGAAAAACAATCCCCTCCATAGTTCTACTTTCAATTTGCCATGAAATTTGAGAGTTTTCTATTCTAATTCGACCAGGTGTACCAAACGAGAACTATGAGTTAATAGTGAGTTCAAAGAAAAAAAAAAACACATTGTCTAAAGGCCCGATTGCAGCTTTTCGCATTCGCCAACAAAAACTCAAAAATTCTTGAATAAGATACCATTTTGCTTTAAGAACAAAAAATGTTAATTGATTTTGTTTTGATATTAAACTCGTCATTTTTTCGCATTCAAGCATTATTTACAGGAGCCGAATTTTAATTGATTAAACCAATTAAATATTTTAAACCATCATTCGCTATTGTTTGCTTTTCTAAAATAACTCATTAATACGGTGACTCGAAAGGTGGAGAAAGATTTACATGACATTGATACAATATTACACTGGCATCTTGTGTCAATCAGATAAAATTATGCGTACATTTATTTACACATATCTTTATTTTATTGATACAAAACTCTCTTTAACGATGCATCTATATTGATTAAGTGATTCCCAAACCAGTCCTAGTTATTTATTGCTTGGGGTTTGTTGCCCTCACATCTACCCATTTTTGAAACATGCAAAGCTCCTCCGAGTCCCCACCGGCAGGAGGCGGCGCCATCTAAAAATTGATACAACCACGTGACTGCACCGTATTCTTTTCTTAAAAATAATATGTCAATCAAATCTAAGAGGAAGAGGGGGATGGACAGAGAGTTTTTCACGGACAAAATGGCCTCCAGCCGGGACCCACCCTACCCTAGGGCACTGAGAATATTCTTGCAGTCCCGTCGCATGCGGAGCTTTCGGAACGTGTCCTTCCCTGCACATGCAACCCTTCATCTAATGAGAACGACGACTTTATATGTGATTAATTTTATACGTCTTGCCGTCGAATATTCGATGCTGTCTTCCACGTGTTGTTCGGTTCCTATTCCTTCCCTTCATGTTGCTCTTTAGCTAATAATAAGCCAGCCCGCCGGCCAACCTTTTTTAAGCTTTTATTATTACGGGAATCAATGCTACCCGCTACCTCTTCACATTCGTCGCCCAACTTTTCTCCACGACACTAATATACAATACAATCAATTATGTATGGGAGAGGCCGAGATGAGTGATTAACGTTGAATTAAGTTATTAATTAAGTAATATTTAATTGTTATAAAAATGTATCATGAGAGAGTGATTATTGTCGTTTTGAGTACCTAATTAGTTAGCACTTGAACGCTAATTCTTGTAATTTAATTTGAAAACTACAAAATAAAATCTAAATTTTGTGAATATACAAAAATGGAGTACACTGTTCTGACCAACTTAATTAAACGTTAGGATATCTATATAATTCTACATTAGACTATAAGCATAAATAAGTGTGTGTGTGTGTGTATATATATATATATATATATATATACCGCTTGAAAACAAGGCATTCTTGTTTTTGCTACTGTTTCTTTCTTTTTCTTACTGCTTCTGATTCTGTCTTTCTTTCTTTCCCACTCCGATCAGTCTCTTGATCTCAGCAGCTAGCTTTCTGCGTTTGTGAGAATTACTTGGCAGAAAAGCAAAAGCAGCTGCAACAAGCTAGATGAATTAATCTGAATAAATATGGAGAGGAATATTTATGGTAATTGTGAAGGGGAAGGGAATTGTGGATATGAGAATGGGGTGATGATGACAAGAGACCCCAAACCAAGGCTAAGGTGGACGCCGGATCTTCACCACAGATTCGTTGATGCTGTCACTAAACTCGGCGGCCCTCACAGTATGCATATATTCCTTAATATTTTTCTTTAGGATCCATGAATTTGTGTCTATCAACAACTTGTTTATATACATATATGTTTTTTTTCTCTTAGTTCTTGTTGCTCCGATGAACTCTTTGGGGATTTTTAAGCTGGCATTTGAAGAATAAATATGTAATGTTATCAAGTTTAGACTATACACATTTGAATTTTGAATAATACTTTAGTTGACCTACTTTCAATCTCAATTTACAATCTGACAATATAACATATTAGACTATCTAACAAAACAAAACGCGAGTAGCATCATAAATCGTGTATAATGTATATGATCATGGTGAAACTTTGAATGCGTATTAGATTCAGTCACTTCTTTGTTCTTGATCAGTATTAAATATCCATTCAAATTTTAAAACACAATTATATGCCACTATAGATACAGAAGTCCAAATTTTCCAATTAATCCAGTTAGTTTAATTTTTAAGATGGATTCTGTTTTCAGAAGCAACTCCAAAGTCCGTCTTGAGGCTCATGGGCTTGAAGGGATTAACTTTGTACCATTTGAAAAGCCATTTGCAGGTATGCTTATGCTTCTTTCTTTGTTTCATGTTTTGGTCACTTTAACACTTCATTAATTACCTTCATTTACTCTCATTTGCTAAACTTGTCAATTGACAGAAGTATAGGCTTGGACAGCACGCTCAGAAACACAACTCCATCGAAGAACAAAGCCGGGAGAATAATGGTGAGAGCATATTACGAACAACTGGAAAAAAAACAATTGGATTCCTTGCTCAAATTACTACTAGCAAGGAACTGGTTTGAAAATTTCATTCACACAAAATGGGTTAAACGTTTAGCTAGCCTTCAATTAAAAGTTAAAACATAATGTACTAACGCCTTTTCTTGTAAAATTCTAGGGGACTCATGTGTACATTTCAGTAATCATCTTTCCACAGGTTCTAGCATCAAATCATCAAGAGGCGGTAATATCGAACAAGGGTACGTGAAACCAGTACTTATCAGCTCCACAGCGATTACAGCTTGGTTTACCAGTACTTAACTACTTGCTGTCCTGTTTATGCATTTAGTATGGCCCTCCTCTAGTGGTGCTTTGTATGTGTTCCCACCAATGCCTTTCGGATCACTCCGAAAATTTACTAGCTTTTTTACATTTTATTTGTTTAGAGATCAACCATTCACAAAAAATACATAAGCTAGTTAATGATCACAATTTTCTGTTTCAATTGTTTCACCGAAAGGTCTGTTTTTAATTCTGCACCTTTCTCACAAAATAATTTTGGTATAATCTTATTCTATTAACTCTCCATACGAGCGCTTGGATACTAACTAACGGTAATATACGGAAAACAGAACACTTCCATTGTCGGAGGAACTCAAGTGTCAGATTGAAGTACAAAACAGATTGCAAGAGCAGCTTGAGGTATGTTGTTTTGCTATCACTTACCTTAGTGTCCAAATACTATGCTAGCTTTCACTTGTGAGGGTGTGATAGGCAAAGCCTCACGTCGGAGGTTTAATAAACCTAGCAATGGCTTCTAAGGAGGGCCACCTCCTTTTCTAATTGTACATTTTCATACGGCTCATCTTCTAACCAATGTCGCTACTTTCTATAATAGGTTCAAAAGAAGTTGCAGATGAGAATTGAAGCTCAAGGAAAGTACTTGCAAGCCATATTGGAGAAGGCCCAAAATGGCCTCACCCTCGACGTGAAAGGACCTGATAACATAGAAGCAACAAGAGCCCAATTAACGGATTTCAATTTGGCTCTATCGAATTTTATGGAGAATATGAGCGAACAAGATCGAGGAGGCAACACAATAGAGATGAATGATATTTATAAGAAGAACAATGGATCAACTTTTCAGATATATGAAGAGGGAATAAGAGAAGAAAATAAAGATACAAAGATTAAGGTTGAGGGGGGTTCGATACGTTTGGACTTAAATACTAAAGGAAGCTATGATTATGTTGGTTCAAATGGAGGTGAATTCGAAACAAGATGCTTTCGTTTACAAGATACTACCCTTTGATGACAAAGACTTGCACTTTGATGATACAAGACTTAACAATCTTTTTATGCTTATATTGATTTGTTTTTCTGTTCATATCGCTGCTTGTATTCTATTATTTAAGAAGAAGTTGCATATTTATTTACACGTACGCCTTCTCCTATCTAAGTTCTCTAAACAAATGTAAGTTTGGCACACACATAAAGCAGGAGCAGGTGTCTCCTCTGGCTTGTTAAGCTGGCATGGATATTAATTTGTGGACTTCCCGACTTCAAAGGGGATGAATTTCACTTGATGAAGACTGATCGAACTGCTTGAAGTTGCCAAATCTTCTCAGTTGTAGCAGTACTCTATCATTCTCAAGAATATGAGAGCCAGGAGCGGGTCTCGTACTGCCACGTGATGGATGGGTCTCTTTGGCCTGCACGATGATGATAGGTCTCTTGGCCCCACGTGTAGGGTGAGTCCCCTTGGCTTCACATGGTTGTTGATGTGTAGACCTTCCATGTAAGGGGGCATGTTATTTTAAAAGCGCTTTCAATTATTTTAAAAGCTCATCCAAACGAACTTAGTGGTTATGAGATATTATCACACCTAAGCCAAGACTTTGAACGTTAATTCCCCTCCCACTTCGGCATCCTTTACAGAGAAACTATATAAAGTAAATCTCCTGAAATAATCTAAACTTGCTGTAAAAATACAGCTTTCACAATTACTTGAAATTCATGAGTAATGAGTTTGAGTCAAGAGTTTGAACATTCCCTTTCCATTTTGGCCTCCTTTCAGAGAATTAACAACATTAGGTAATATTTATGAGTTAACTTTAATATACATACTAAAAGTACTAATTTTGAGAAGCCATTGAAACCAAGCTTAATGATGAAACACGAACACAGTAGCAAGCAAAGATCTTCCGCTCCTAGTACACGCCTTATGCACTCCTATATGGGGTAGGGTTTTGTGCTAGAATATGTGTACAAGAGTGGGGACCTAAACCTTATATTTATAGGTGAGTATATTAGGTTTCTTGCCTATAAAGAAATCCCTAATACATATCTTTAGCACCTCTAGAATCAATGACCTAATAGGAAAGATATTCCCAATAATTATAAGTTTACTTGACCACCAAGTAATCCGGGATAACCAAATATTTCTTCTTATCTTGTATTCTTAATCAATTAAGACTCCTAAATAGATGTAAGCCCAATAAAAGTCTTACATTCTCCCACTTGGGCGAGACATCTATTCAAAAGTTCTCTTTAGGATCAAGAATCGATTTCCTTATGCGTGCAACCTTGGAAGATCTTTTGATAACAATATCTTTTCAAACTCAGTGTCAAATATCATTAGCTTGTAGAACTATAGACCATGACATTCAATAGAGCGAATACATGCCTCCATAATTACATACAAGCAACAATATTCACATAAAGTACCAACAAGTCATGGACAAGCATATATATATGGTCAGTGAGCTTAATGGTGGATATCACACTTAACACATATACGGTCCTCTTTACGATCACAAAGTGACCTTTAATGCTTAAAACAAGCCCTTATGTCAAGGCAACAATCTTGATATATAGCAAAATTAGCTAACTGGGATGAAATAAGTATGTAGAAACAGAACATATTATTCTTTAATGCATATACATGAAATTTCAACCAAAAGAAAATTTTCAAAACTGAAAAAGATAACTAGCAAACAAGAACAACTCGAGCTCCCACTATTCTAAGACATCTTCGAAACTTGATAGAACTCCTATGCTTGTCACATGTTTTAGAAAATCTACATTAGTGATAGCTTTGTTCAATGGGTCTACAATCATGTCCACGGTACTGATATGATCAACCATGGTGACTCCTTCTTGCACTTTCTCTCTAACCTTCAAAAACTTTATGTCAACATGCTTGAGTCCTGAAGATTTCTTGTTGTTTTTGCAAAAGAAAACAGCTCCCTTGTTGTCACAATACAACTGAATAGGTCTTGATATATTATTGACAACTTGCAAACCTGATACAAAGTTCTTCAACAAAATGCCATGCATCGTTGCTTCAAAACATGCCATGAACTCGGCATGCATTGTTGAAACAGCCACAATCTTTTGTTTGACACTTTTCCAAGCTATTGCACCACCTCCAAACATAAACACAAAGCTGGAAGTTGACATTAAGTCATCAGCACATCCAGCAAAATTAGAATCAGAATAACCTACGAACTCTTAACTTATCAGTCTTCTTGTAAACCAGCATGTGATCTTTGGTTCTTTGTAAATAATGTAGAACCTTCTTTGTAGCTTTCCAGTGTGCCATTCCAGGATTAGATTGGTACCTACCTAGAACACTAACAGAAAATGCTAGGTCGGGGCGAGTACATACTTGAGCATACATGATGCTTCCAACCACTGAAGCATAAGGCTTGTTCTTCATCTCCTCCCTTTCTATATCATTCCTCGGACAATCTTTGTTACTCAATTTATCTCCCTTGGAGATTGGAACTTCAACACTGTTACTCTTCAACATGTTAAACCACTTCAACACTTTCTCAATATAAGCCTTTTGTGAGAGACCTAACAAACCACGACTTCTATCTTGGTGAATTTCAATGCCCAAAACATAAGAAGCCTCTCCAAGGTCATTTATCTCGAAATTCTTAGACAAAAGCTCTTTGGTGTCATTTAATAAATTCTTATCAGATGACCATACTCCTGAGAATATTCCTGAGGTAAGCTCTACTATCCCTGTTGATGATACCGTTGTTCCGAATTATCAATTACCTTTCAGGCACAACCGAGGAAAGCCACCTAATCGGTATTCACCAGACACAACGAAATGCTCTAAATACCCCATTGCCAACTATATGTCATCACAAAAGCTATCAGAACCCGACAAAGCTTTTGTACAGCAAATATCCAATGATAGCAGACCAAGTTCATTGAAGGAGGCACTATCTGATGATCGATGGACCAAGGCAATGGAGGAAGAAATGGCTGCACTCCAGAAAAATCAAACGTGGGATTTAGTTCCACTTCCCCGAGGAAAGAGAGTTGGGTGTTGATGGGTGTACACCATCAAGTTGATGGGTCTGTTGAACAATACAAAGCACGATTGGTGGCCAAGGGATACACTCAGACGTATGGTGTTGATTATACAGAGACATTTGCCCCGATAACAATGATTAATATAGTAGGAGTATTGCCTTCATTGGCGGCCAACTTAGATTGGTCATTACAGCAATTTGATGTGAAAAATGCTTTCTTACATGGTAATCTTAAAGAAGAAGTGTATATGGATATTCCACCTGGTTATGCATCGGTTTTACAACCTGGAGTAGTGTGCAAGTTGAATAAAGCATTGTATGGGTTGAAACAATCACCTCGAGCATGGTTTGGTAGGTTCCGGACGGCTATGAGGAAATATGGGTTCAAGCAGAGCAATTCCGATCATACACTTTTCTTGAAACGTCGAATGAGGAAATTGATGGCACTTATCATCTATGTGGACGATATGATTGTTATGGGTGACGACAAAGAGGAAATCTCAAGGCTCAAAGATTACTTAGCAATCGAGTTCGAGATGAAAGATCTTGGTGGTTTGAAATATTTCTTGGGGATATAAGTAGCTCGATCTAAACAGGGTATATTTCTGTCTCAAAGAAAATATGTTCTAGACTTATTAGTTGAAATCGAAATGCTTGATTGTAAACCGGCTGACACCCTTATAGTCCAAAATCACTAACATAGATCGTTATCAGAGGTTAGTTGGGAGGTTAATTTATTTATCTCACACCAGGCCTGATATTGCATACGCAATAAGTGTTGTTAGTCAATTTATGCATCCTCCGAGTAAGGCACATATGGGTGCAGTTAAACGCATCCTACGATACCTGAAGTCCTCACCAGGTAGAGGCATCATGTTTTCCAAGAATGATCATTGCCGAATAGAGGGTTACACCGATGTAGATTGGGCGGCAATGTTATTGATCGTCAGTCCACATCTGGTTATTTTACATTTGTGGGAGGAAACTTAGTGACTTGGCGAAGTAAGAAACAGAAAGTGGTTGCTTTATCAAGTGCAGAAGTGGAATACAGGGGTATGGCAAAAGGAGTATGGGAACTATTATGGCTTGGGAGGTTACTTGGTGAACTCGGGTATCTTGAATTCAGCCTCAGATTTATTTTGTGATAATAAAGCAGCTATCGATATCTCACACAACCCAATTCAACATGATCGCACAAAACACGTGGAAGTTGATAGACACTTCATAAAGGAGAAGTTGGATGGGAATATTATTCAATTCCCATTTGTAAAGTCAGAGGATCAATTAGCGGATATCTTAACTAAAGCTATTGCAAGTCAAGCGTTCTACAACTCTCTTGTCAAGTTGGGCATGAACGACATTTATACACCAACTTGAGGGGGAGTGTAGGAGAGTTGACTTTTTGTAATTAGTTTAATTACCCATTTGAGTCCTTATAATCAGATTGTAATTAGGATTTCCCGGTTGCAGCACATGGTTTTACATTACTCTCATACATTTTGAGAAGAGAATCGGAGATAGAAAGTAGCAGGTGGAGTGGTGGGTTACTAGATGTATATGGTGTGGTGGAGGGAGACTAGAGAGGGTATGCTGTGATGGCTTGCCGGAGTTGAAAGGGTTTGAGACAGAGAGAGAACTAGCTGCTCTAAGAAGAATGAGAGAGTTTGAGTCTCTGGGATATGGCTATCTAACATTAGACGATCGAGATTAAATCTCAACCAATCTGTCGACAAATTTCCTAAACCATAATTAAAAAAATAAACATATATATATATATATATTATCTTCAATTCGGTTCAAAATTACCAAACAAGTCCGATTGTGAGACCGATGGTCGTAACGACTTTCTAAGATTTTTTTTGCTTCATTTAGAAATGCTTTTCAGTACTGTTCGGGACTTTCAATTTTTTGTTCTGCCCCTAATGAGGTTTACCCAATTGATTAAAAAAAAAAAATAGCTTTATTGAGCTTTTAACCACACCCGAGTGCCGCATAAGTACCGAACAAGAGACACATTAATGAGGAAAAATCTAGTTCCTTTGATGGGCCGAGTTAGAAATGCAAGTTGGAATGGGACTTTTGATTCCGCTATAAAATTCTTGATCCGAAACTAAAATTTTTGAATTTCAATATTTTTAAATAATTGTAGATATCGAAAATTTTGTATTTAGAATAAGGAAAAATTTTCCAAGTGTTCTGAAACTTATTCCAATAAAAAAGGAAAAAAAAAAAGATGATGGTTTTTTATTTATTTACTAAATATGAATTGTTATTAGCACTTTAAATTCTTCATTCTATACTTTAAAATTTTTATATTAGAAAGAAAAATATACTTGTAAAGAGTGTAGAATGTGATTTTTGGAGTGCCAATAACAATTCCTTACTAAATTTATGTATTTTATAATTAACTTTTATACTTTATTATTAATTTTGGATATTTTAATCTACGTTTAAATGTTAAAACGTATAAACATACTTATATACTACAAAATTGATTAAATTATACACGAGCATATATCAAATACAAAAAATACCTACATGCACGAAAAAATTAAAAATATTAAACAACTTATAAAATATATAAATTTCTAAAAATTTCGAATTATAAACCCTAAACCGATCCGATCCGCTTTCGAAATTTTACAATAGAACTTAAAAAATTTGTGTCCAATCACAGTCTGATCCTAACAAAAGAGGACATAATCGTCATTAGGTATTATTGTCCAATCAAACAGCTGCTGATTAGATTACTTCCGCCACGTGTAACCTTGTGACGCCTTCAAAGTCTGAACGGAGATACAGGGCTCTCTTTCTCTCTGTCTCTTCTCTCTCCTTCCTGTCTATTGGACAAATACTTGCAATCAATGAAAAATGCCGTCGTCCGACATCGTAACTGCTTCTAAAGTTCCGTTTGCGGCCACTTGTCTTCCCAATGGCAAGGTAATTATTTGATCTTTCGTATTCTCTTACCTTTCAAAAATGTCCGCTCACAGTCACTGCCTCTTTCTCTTTGCACGTATACTTGCAAGAAGCATTTGCCGCCAAAATCCTATGGGAATATGGTCACCCGCAAAATGGCTGCGCAAACTGTCTCCAGAAACCTCAAATTCGTGAGGAATTCGGCTTCGGGGGATATGGAGACAAGTTCAGTTGGGCTTGATGTGTCAATTCCTAGCGATTATTCTGAGCTCATTGAACAAGTAATTCACCTTCTACTCTTTCTAAACTACAATGTGCCTTCGTGTTCTGAACAATTTGTGGAAGTGCACTTATGATAATATTTATTAGGATCGGAAAATGATAACCGCACACCATTTTTCACCCCCTATGGACCCATGTTTAATCCTGTCCGTTTTTCTATTTGATTTATTCAATCCGGAGACGCCACTTCTATAAATTATTTCATTTGAAATCTATTCGGAACTCGGGTTAATATGTACTTTATCATATCAAAAGCAGCGTCTCTATCTCACTCTCTCTGCCCCTCTCTACTCTCGTACGTACGCTTTGAGTATTTTACTTCGTGTGATGGGCATCACTCATCAGGCGTGCCTTTGGTTTCTGATTTATTACCGCTATTTGGTGCTAAGTTTTTTCTTGTGCTGCATGATAATTACTAGGCCCGAAATGCAACTGCATTGGCTGTGAAGGATAACAAGCAGTTGATGGTGAGTTAGGATTGCGTAATTACTTGTGATAAAAATTCAATCTAACAACAGTTGTATGGTCTTATTATATGATCAACAAGTCTCTTCTTCTGCAGGAGATTGAGTTCCCTACTTCCGGACTTGAATCCGTACCAGGTTCCTTCCGCCAGCTGATATGTGTTTATAGTTTGTTCCAAGTGACTTGCATTATGTATAGCTTCTTAATTTATGAAACACATTTTAGGGGATGGTGAAGGGGGAATAGAAATGACAGAAAGTATGCAGTTAATTCGAGAATTTTGCAACCGTTTAATAGTTCCAGAGAAAGCCAGACAGACCAGAATAGTAAGTTCCTTGACAAATAACTCTAGTTTCAGATTTAGGGGACTGTAATGGGCTCGTTGTACTGCACTAAATAAAAAGCAAAAGATTTAAGAACCAAAACATCTAACTGAAAAATACGCAATTCCCAAAACGGCTAAACCAAATAAGGCGAAACTACTATAAAGTGGTATGATAAATTAAACAAATAGTCCTTTGCTTTACCTACTCTATTTGTTCCTTTCCCTTGTTATCTTTTTAGGTACTGAGATTTTAAGCGAATATATTAACGGTTTGATGAAAGCTTTCAGTTTTTTCCTGAGGCCAACGAAGTTAAATTTGCAAGAGAATCAATATTTGAGGGTGCTTCCTTTAAGTTGGACTATCTGACAAAGCCATCATTCTTTGAGGACTTTGGTTTTGTGGAGAAAGTGAAAATGACAGACCGTGTGAAGGCAGAAGATGAACTCTTCCTTGCTGCCTATCCATATTTTAATGTCACTGGTAGCTCCTTCAGTTGGATTTTTTGTTCCATTATATTTTCATTTATATATTTCACTTGATGTCACTGGATGCACGTAACTTGGACCATTTCCGTTCACGACACTCTACATTCTGAATAAATTCTACATTAGCATCATTGCAACCATTAATCAATGTTTGAATTAATTTCTTGCCATTCAGAAATGCTTGTGGTCGAAGAACTTTACAGAGAAGCTGTTCAGAACACTTCAAGGAAACTGATTATTTTCAATGGGGAGCTTGATCGTATAAGATCTGGATGTATCCTTTGCTAATTTCAGATGGAATGCATTCACCCTTCAAATATAAATTGCATTACTTGTTCATTTGCTCAAGCTTGATGCATATACCTTGAAACCATTGGTGACCTTTTCGGTTACACATACGACAGTTTTTCTTGAAACGAAATAAAGATTATCCGCCCTTCTTCTACCCAAAGCTCGCTGCACTTTCCAAGAGCCTATTTCCATTTATGGAGACTGTGTACTACATTCACAACTTTAAGGGACGCTACGGAGGGACCCTTTTCAGGTTTGCTAGCTACTGACACTGGTAATTAATGAATTTGTTTGTGTGAGAGTGAGATACATATCAATACTTTATTTACCTTTTGTTTGTGTTATCTTGTTATGCAACATTTAGGAGCTACCCAGGCCCATGGAAAGTCTTCAGAAAAGTAAGGAACGGATACGTCTGTTTGCATCAGCAGGAAGCAATGCCGTCGCTCAAGGAAGTTGCTTTAGATATTCTTCCATCGGCCTGAGCGAGCGTATAGGATTATACAGTACGATTCTAAGATGTTATGAAGCCTTCTCAAGTACAGAAACTTAATCTTCAGTCAGTCACTATGAGAAATGTATATAACATTTTCTTGTCGATAGTCTCATAAATTTACTACTTGTGTAGAATGCAATATTAACAAGTTATGGAGGTAATCTAGTAGCTTAAGGAAGAAGAAACCCAAAGGATGCAAATTGAAATTCCAACTGTAGCCTTCTTCACCTCTGCTGCTTGCTCTGCCGCGATGGAGTGTGCCATGTGGAAGGCTCGGCCCTTTGATATCAAGTCCACCCGGTCATGGTGGTGGCCCACCAACAGGCCGGGGTAGATTTTCTGTGCCATCAGGCCAAGGTATAGGTGGTTTTCCTCCATTTGGCCTAGCCGCAAGTGTGCTTTTGCCGTGCCAAGATGTCGGTGATTTTCCTCGCGTTTCTAAGGTGTGGGACTATTCATGCAGACGAAGATCTAAGGGCAAAGAAGGGACGAGCTCACAAGTAGAAACGGATTGTGTGAACCAATCTAACTAAAAATTTTAAATTTTTTGTATTAAGTATCTTTTGTTGCATATTTCCTATCCGACCTGAAAAATGATAGTCCCACACAAGACAAATAGGGGCATTTCGTCATTATACTATGCTAGTGAGATTAGAAAAAAAGAAAGAAGAAATAGCAAATTAGTCATAACAAACATGAGCATTTCGTATTTTTACAGTGAGAAAGGAAAAAGAAAAAGACTTGAATAGGGGTATTTTGGTCTTTCTGTACTTTTGTTTTTCAGTCGACGTTAGTAATATGTAATTTTGTGTTAAGAATAAAAAAAGTCAAAATTTTGAGTTTTCATTAGTTTTCCACAAATGGAAATTGGCCAGACCGACGGTGTAGATCTAAGATGGACCCACCGGGAAGGACGCACGTGAAAACAGTAAATCGGCTTTACAATTCCCGTTGCCATTGGCTTTTTGTGTTTGTAGGCATCGTTCTCGTTTGGATCCCCACCCCCTCCACGGCTCCACCCATCATCATCGTCGTCATCGTCACATTTTCGGCAGACATTTTACACTCGCTCGCTCACTCTCTCTGCCTTTTGGGCCTGCAAAAAGCAAAACCCCTTGATGAATCAATCATACGCTAATTAGTATCACAAGTACGTCGATTTCTTTTCTTTTTTTCTCTAATAATATCGTCATGATTTCCCTTTACACGCCAATCAACTTCCACTTTCTTAGCTGGTACTCTGAATTCTGATGCAGTTTTCATGTAAAAAATGCTGGGTTTTGTGTAAATTTCCATTTTTTTTACAGCCTTGATCTTGTTTTTATTTATTTATTTACTCGCAAATCGTAGTTGGTGTTCTTTTCAGCTGCTAAGTTTGACTTACTGGCGAGACTTTTTCTTGTTTTCCTTGTTTCATATCCATTTAAGGATCTTGACCTTCAACAATTTGCTTTCTGGGAAAGTTGGAAAATTGGAAAATTTCGTCAAAGCCTGCCGCAGAAGAAAAAGAAATTCAAAGTGTTTTTCCTTAAAAGGGGATTATTGGTTTTGTCAGACAAGACAAAAGGGGTTGCAGATTGAAATCTCAGGGAGATATTGACCAAAAAATAAAGGGAAATCTCACATAGACAGGGACATTGATTTGTGCATATAGATATACAGATATAGATATATAGATATATCCATACACCAAGAAAGATGGGTTCTTTCCCAGGTCATGTTCTGCCAGGGACATTGTTTTTGGTTGTTGGGGTGTGGCACGTATGGGGCTCGCTGGTGAGATATGTATCCAACCCCAAGTCCTTTCGGGTACATGTATGGAACCCCGTTCCCGGTGTTGATGGGAGGCTTAAGTATTTTGAACTTTATCTTATAGCAGTTGGTGCTTTCATTGATATGTGTATTGAGCTTTTGTATTCGACCCATCTCAAGTTCTTTGTTAATGGAGTCTTGAACCCTCATCACATGAATGATTTCGAGCACTCGGGGATGCTTCTAATGTTCTTTATCTTTGGGGTTATCACCCTGATCTCACAGGAGACAAGGTATGATCATTCTCATTTGATTTTCTTGATTGCCATTTTCTTTGTTTTTATGTCATCTTGTTTAACAATTTTGTTTGATTCTTCGGAAAAGTCTAGGATTAGATAATTGGCGATAAAGCCATTGATTTTTGGATTTTAAACTTTTGAGATTGATGAACTAGCTGCTCTGCGTGATTAAGAGTGATGCATTGTTGACCTACTCAAGTGGATGTTTCAATTGCACCGAAAACAAAATAACAAAATGAGGTCACATCTAAAAGTTTATTCCTTTTTGCAGCTAGCACTAAGAGGCCTTTATATCTAGGCTTCCTCTGTTTCTTTGGTAACGTAAAGATTTCAATTTTGATGGCATTTATAGAACTCACTAGCAATCAAATCTGTAGAAGTCATAGTCCTTGCATATTGAGATGGCTGTTGCAACTGTTTATATTGGGTGGGGAAATGAAATTCCATAGGAAGTGAATAAGGAGCTGCATTTATATGGGGATCTATGTGGATCATCTGGTTTTGTGTCTAGGTTTGTTATTGTTTTTATTATTTTGTTGATATTGGTCTGACATAATTTGTCATGACTGTTACTGGTTTTTTATTAAGTCCATATACCCAAACTAAGAATTTCACATATTTAGTATTTTCCTTTTCAGACTTTAGTAAAACTTGAAACCCCTACTCAGTTCTGTGTAACTCAGTTGGCTTCGAGTTCCTCTGTGCAAATGGAAATGAGGGCCAAATTAAAAAGTGCATGGCTACCATTGCTAATTGATCCCAGAGTTTTATGAGGTTTAGCCCACTCCCCCACCCCTTAGTTTAGATAATATAGAATGTATTAAAAAAAGTTCTCAAATGCTGCTCACAGTCAAATTCCTGAGAACTGTTCTGGTCATGTTCATAAATTCAAGTTTGTAATAGGAAAAACTTGCTTTAAGAGAGTGAAACAACTGTTTGCGTCTGACATTTTTTGTTGTTCCAGGTAGTTGCCCTTGAGCTTTTGGTTGTGCACATTATGAAATGTCTGATCTGTTTATAATTGCCTGCAATCTCAGACATTAACTATTGCTAACATTGTTGATTATGAATTCCTAAGAATTTATAAAATGTTGGCGTGAGTAGTACTTTTAACTCATGAAACTTAGATATATTTCAACAGACATGCCAAAGTTTTGTATTTACTCACCAGGATAATTCAGAGTCACAAGCATTGAAAATGTTTACAAATAAAGAGAGAGATATCTGATGATATCATTTGTGTTTTCTGGAATTGCAGTTGGTAAGGGCATCCAAAAGGTTATTCTTTGGTCAGGTCCAAGTCCCATCTCCCTTTCCATAGTCCAGTTTGCTTGTTGGAACATTAGGGGTCTTATTTCTACCCTAAGCTGATGGATATGAGAAAGCTTATTGCTGCTCAAAATCCTGATTTAGTTTATATTGTTGAAACTGGAGTGAGATTGGTTAATGAAGATGTCAGTTCTAGAAGTTTTATTTGGATTACTCTATGAATAACTCGGGTAGTCACAGTCTGGGAAAATTCAGATTGGCTGGAATCTTTTAACCATGAGGTTTTCAAAGCACGGTGATTCTGACCAGTGCAGCCAATTCCAAGACATTGGCAGTAGAGGCTTACAATGAAGTTAGAGGTTTTCAAAGCAATGTGACATAGTTGCTGGTTGAATCAGTGCTGGGATTGCACTCTTGGGGAATTGCATCGATGAGTCTTATTTAGAAGATCTCTGCTCTGCATAGGTTTTCCTATAGCTACATGAATTTCTTTCCTCCATTTATGTCGGATCATTTTCCCATGTTGGTATTAGGCTGTAACCTTAATCTGAGAAATATGCTTTTAAGTTCTCCATTTTTTTCTCTGATAGGGGATTTCTAGTTGGGCCCCCACTTGTAGCAAAGGTTCAAGGAACCTTCAATTCCAGTTTTCTAGAAGCTCTTGCTAATCGAGGATGAGCTGAAGAAGCTGCAGTAGAACCCAGGTCCATGATAGTTTGCAGCAGCCTGTTTTTGCCTTCAGATTGACACCATTTCTGCGAGAGCGTAGCAGAATTATATGATTTGTTGCTATATTATTGCTGCACACCAGTAGGATTGGGGTTTACAGTTTAAACACCTCATTAGGCGGCTGAGGATGTTCTTCTCAAGCATTATTTACATTAGGCCTTTAGCTTGTTGTTGCGTTTCTTTTAATTTATGATTTGTTGTTTACATTTTAATTTTAGAGACTACAGTTCAATATTGATAGATTGCGGCAGTTATTTTCACATTGTTGCCTTAGGATGGGTGCTTTTTACACAATTTTTTATTGATTGTTAATTTTAACCGTCCAACACTATTTTTGGGTCTGTTATGGAATAACCTTGTAGTATGGCTAATTTTTTTCTTTCTCCTTTAGTCTTGCAATTAGATTTCTTCCGATGCCTGAAGGAGCTCTTTGTCTGATTGCTGCTACAGCATTCTGTGCGGAGTACCTTCTTTTCTACTTTCACTCAACAACTCATAAAGGCCTCGAGGGGTATTACCACATCCTCCTTGTCCTCCTAATCGGGCTTTGCATAGTATCGTCTGTTGCCGGAGCCCTCTTACCAACCAGCTTTCCAATTGATTTATGTAGCGGTATTGGCATAACTCTCCAAGGCCTCTGGTTTTATCAGACTGCGTTCACTCTCTATGGCCCCATGATGCCAGATGGTTGTGGGCTCAAGGATGATATGGTCTCATGTCATTCTGTCGACAGTGAGGTCCGGGGTGAGTTGCTTGCAAACTTCCAGTTCTTTATCATGGTTCTTAGCGTACTCATTGCAGTTGTGGGAGGATATGGTTTTGTTGCCTTAAGATTTGGGCATTCTGATGAACAGAGCTTGCGTGCAGTATAGGATAGGGGTTGTCAATGTTTATTGTACTGTTTTTGGGGCTGTCGAAGGAGGTCTTAAAAGCTCGAAATATGGACTATTAGATTTAGAAGCAAATGGAGATATATATGAGTGCCTTCATACCAGCAAATGGAGATTTTTTGTCAATAATGAAGAGGCCCTTGTCCAAGGTCATGTTATTCCCTATTTTTCTTATTACATAATTGATGGTTCATATGTTATTTTTACTAAAAACGAATATTCAAAAAAATAATAAAAAAAATTCTAAATTGTTGTAAAGTCGACGATATGTGTGCAGTGGAATAAAATAAATAAGACATAATATTTACAAGGTTCGGTAAGTGTGCCTACGTCCTTGAGGCAGTATTAGTATTTTCTTTCATTATCTGAAATAATAGGAGTACAAAATAACTCGCACTATTTTCTCTTATCTCTAGCTTGGCTCATTGGTAATTTCTTCCACATCTCTCTTCTTTCCTCTTCTTTTCCTTTCCTCCATAACTCCTCTTTCTTTCCTCTATATGTTTTTCTCTCATCTCTTTCTTTTCTTTCTCACTTCTTCCTTCCTCTTTATGCTCTCATCTAGGGTTAGGCACGAGCTTGACCAGGTCGAATTTTGAAGGAACCAGACCATATTGGAGTTTAAAAGAAATGGGCCAGTTCGGGGCGGGTACAACATATTTTAAAACAAGAACCAGACATAACCAGTTCTGTTTGAAACGGGGCCAGTTTGGACAGGGTACAACGGGTCCTCTTAACTTTATTTTTTTTTATTTTTTTTTTATTTATGGTTTTGATATAGAGCTCCAAAAGCTAGTTCCAAATCCAGGTTGATGGTCGGTGCAATCATCCTCGATCATGTGCTTGATGGTATGCGACTCCAACGCCACCGCCTCCTCAAACTCGAACGACTTGATGTTTAAGCTCTTGATGGTGATCTTCTTCAACGACATGGTTGGTGACGGTGATAACGATGGTCTTGAACGACTGGTACTGTAAGAGAAGCCCGAACAAGGAACCCTTTTCAGCTTTGCTCCTCCGCAGCTGCAATCAACCTTTCCTTAGCTGCAGCGGCCATCAAATCATCAAAGCCTTCCAACTTCCCAAGTACTATCTCAATCTCAAAACCAAAACAATAAATCAATATTAACAAAACGGAATACTTGGTAGGGGACAGACTGTAAAGTGCTCGAGTTCAATATTCTGGGAGTGGGTACAATCACATAAATCCTATAAAAAAACCAAGCAAATCCCACATCAAAAATACCCCCAAACCAAAACCCATATCAGAAAATTCCCCCAAAACCTCACAAAAAGCCAAACAACCCCAAACAAAATCCCAAAACCCTCGGAAAATCTAAATCAAAACCAATCTAGGTTTTTTAAAAGTTGGAAGCAAGATTGCAGCAAGGGGCTCATCGACCTCAAATTCTTAATGTCGACGAACTTGTCCTGATGGTGGGTGGGAGGGACCTCAATTGACGCCAGAGATGGTGGTTAAGTGGTGGGTAAGTTGGACCTCAATCGACGAAGACGGGGACGTAGTGTAAGTTCAGGAGAAAGAGATTGTGAGGGAGAAGTCGAGAGGTCTAAGAGTGAGGTCTGGAGAATTCTACATAACGTAAGAAATAAACCCTATAATGAACGGTGGAAACGGTTCGGGCCGGGGGCTCGTTTTCTCTTAAATTTCTACCCGCCCTGCCCCGTTTTGAATTTACAATATATGTACTTGGCCCAAACTTGCCTCGACCCGCTAGTCTAGGACCCGTTTGCCCAGTCCTACTCTCATCTTATAGGCAAAAGATTACTATAGCAAAACAATTCACTATACAAACTTTCCTCAAATAAATAGTGAAATATTGTGCATGAATAGTAACCCATCCGCTTTTCTTCATATGAATAATAATCCATTTGATTTTTCATTGGATGAATAGTAATGAACTATTCATGTGGGCCATCCACATATTATATTACAATACTCTCCCTTTGATGGCCATATGTCAATTTCGGTTGCCTCGTTAAAACCTTGATATGTTTTCGATGCTCCCCCTGATGAGTATCTCTCCTTAATTTTGAATTCTTTAATTTGACTGATTACTATGTTGATGTAAGCTAATACCATTCATGATAGTTGAAGTGTTTGCTTCTGAAGGTGGTTCACATGCGCCCCAATTTTTAATGGCCATAGGTTTTAACCAAACTCCAATATTTTTTAGAGATATGAAGATGTGGCAATGAATGTTGTCCTTGATTGTTGTAGGATCAACTTATTTCCATACGTAAATACAAATCATTTATGAGAGCGATTTGTATGCAGGCTTGAGAGATATTCAGATTTTTGGTTGTCCAATAAGACCATGGCTATTATTGAGTTCTTCAGAATAAAATAAGCACATGTCTATAATTTCTTGGAGTTATCAAAAGATAAACTTTACTTCATTCTAATACCATATGTTGGTATTGTGCTTCACAGGAAATGTAATATTTGACTCAGTGTATTGTACTAAATATAGTAAGGCACATACCTCACTAAGATATGGTGCCCCTAGACCAATTATCAATTCATCATTTCCCTCGCGAGGATGAATGATATTTCTTAGTGTCTAAATATTGGTTAATCATTTGAGTAATCAACTCATAATCTTCAATCCATATGATTTTTTAATACCATAAACATTTTGGATAAGATTTGTGTTAACATATTGTTCGATTTACAGCTCGAGACAATATTCCTTTCAACACTTTATAATCTTTCTAGACTCTTCAAGAGTTCCAATTTAATATCAAGTCTTGCAAGAGATTCAATGTATTGCAACAATATCATAATGAAAGTACTCATTAAGGAAATTTATACCATTCATTGGTATTGAGTACATAATTTATGTTTTACCCTTCCAGGGCTTTCTTCAAGCAATTTGAATCCTTCAGGGATTTCTACACTTCATGACACATTCTCCTTTGAAATTTATACAGAGCAACTTGCTTCCATGTATACTTGAGGGATTTACTTGTGGAGACATGCTTCGGGCATGTATAATTCTCCACTGAAATGAACAAGCTTCACAATGAGAAATCATGTTTCCAAGAGTGTATTACAATTTCAGGTTTCAACTAGGAACCATGTGTCATATCATGTTAGTGTATTTCACCGTATTACAAATGCTCATATAACCTTTTGGGTTCAACATCATTCGGCGATTTGTACTATAGGTCCATTTTTCCATGTTCTTAATAAATTGTAATGGAACTGCCTTTCTCCATTTTGGCCAATAATTTTTCTTTTTAGTCAATGAACAAAAGAATGTGGCTCAATAACAACACAACTCATTAATGAATTTAGTAGCATTTAAAACCAAAATTAACATTGGTAATCATCAATTCTCATGTGCATGTGCATGCATATTTATAAGTATTTCATTACTTTGGATATCCTTGCCTCTTCAGGGGCTTTACATTGTCTCTTCTAGGACAATCATCTCTTATTAGATGAATTGTTTGAGAATTTGGATCATAACCTCCTCTAGAGCATTATAGAGCTTGGATTTTTAATCTCCACTTTTGGGGAGTTGAATCATTGGAACCTACACATCGATCATGCTTTAGGCATAAACTATATTAAAATTGCCGTGTCCATGGATTATCCTTTTTGGAACTTGAATCCATACAACGACTGTTATACTTCGGGCATGCAACAGTTCAATAGTGCCAAGTCTGTGGATAGTCTGATTGAGACTTCAATCCGTGCGACATCTCTATAACTTGTAATCAATTAGTAATTTTCATCACCCTTTTGTACATCATGTGAATGATATAAACTGGTAGAGTTTGCTGGGGATGTGAGTAGGATTCCCATCATTGAACTTTGGTCTTCCATTCACTCAGTTAGCCACCAATTTTCTCCCTTTAGACTTCCATGGAATCATCGTTGATCATTCTGCTTCAGTCTCTTGCCCAGTAGAGGTGGTGCGCAATCTTTGCCCTTGGATGGTCCATCACTTCTTGGTGACTCATCCATGCTTGGCAGTTTCAGTGTAAAGAGCCAACATTGTACCAATTATTCTGCGGTGTTGGTGACTTTAGACCTAGCTCCAACAACAATTGAAGATGACTACTCGAGAGCAATGCAAGGTAAGAAATTAGGGAAAGGTTACAGGTAGTCGATTCCTGACTAAAAGTTTGATTTCAGGTTCCGACTGATTGCTTTCTTTATCTTTGTCTTGTAGGCAAGAGCAAGGGCAAAGGAAAAGATAGGGAAAGAGCATGATATAAGATACTTTTGCTCTCTACCCTGATGATATGAGATGCTTTTGCTCTTGAAGAAAAACAGTAGAAGACTTTGATGCTAATGTAAAACTTTTCGATCGAAGGGGGTTTCTTGATGAGAAAATGAGTTTGGCATTTTGAGGGACTTGGTTGAAGAGGTATTCTGAGAGAGAATGACGATTGAATATGTTGTGAGGTTTGGTTGCAGATGCATTCTCGGCAAGGAAGATGAATTAGGCATTTTTGCGGTATTATTTTGCCATGGAGGACGAAGGTCGACATATATAGGGATTTCCCAATAGCAAGTAGTGGTGCGGATGTGGTCTTGTCACCCATGCTTGTCGGTAATAGTGGTGTAGTTGGAATAATGAACTTTATGCGTTTTAACTTTGCCAGAGATATTTTGACAGAGTTGTCCTTGATATCCAAAAAGCTGAGATTGCGTCTGAGAAATGTTGACAAACTTTATTCAGGAAAATCCAGCTTTTGAAAATCAGAAAGCAGTGTCTCTTCGATTTTTGAACAGGTGGTTGTGTTGCCTCTCATTTTATAGTGGTATCAATTATATTCAAAATGCACGCTTGTGAAAATTATTTCTGTTGTATTTCTGAGATTTCACTCTATCCAACCCTTTTCTTTCATCATTTCTGAAAATGGCTTGCCCATCCAACCTTTGTTTAGATTTAAGTCTTGGAGGAGATACATATGAGCCACGTCTTTTTTATCTTCTAATGACCCTCTTACGGTTGGAGACTCTGTGATGAGGGATGATATAACAGCTATAATAGTAGCTAGGAACCTTCTCACTCCCAAAGACAAATGAATACTTTCAAAGAGGTCTAATGAATTGTCTGTTCAAGACTTTTTGGCTTTCACTGTTCAATGTGCGGGTTCTGTATCCAACATGGACCAACGTCTACTTGCTCGAACCCGCCAAGTCGAAACATTAATGGCTGAGGTGGCAAGTCTTAAATAAGAGATTAAAGGGCTCAAGCATGAGAATAAAGAGTTGCACAAACTTGCAAGTATCTACTTGATGAGCATGAAAAGAAAGCTCGATCAATTGCAGGAATCCGAA